ATTACTTTGTTTTTCTACTAGTCTGATTGTATTACACGGAGAAAAAAGGTAGAGTTCGAGTGGGATTTGTAAGAAAATAGGTGAATTTTGAGTGTGATATAGTATTAGCTGCGTTCTCGCGGATAGACATGAAAACTTTGAAGTACAATCTTATTGCATCTTCAAACCTAACATCGAAAAAGTCCGTTAGTTCCTACTCGAAGAGATAGATATAATTAAAGATCTCACTTTTCAGGAAGACTCATTCAACTGAATATTATATTTGAGTATATAGATACGAGATAAGTTGAAAAATCTTGTCGTTTTTTTCTTATTATAGAATCAATTTCGACACAAATAACAACAACAACAGCAACTACAACAACAACAGCCACAACAACAACAACAACAACAACAGCAACTACAGCCACAACAACAACAACAACTACAACAACAACAACTACAACCACTTCAACTACAACCACTTCAACTACAACAACTGCCGGTGAGTTAATAAATTCATAATTAATTTAAATCAGAGATGAGCACAGAACAATTTATTTTAATCCTATTTTTCCTCCGATTGTAGGGAAGATCATATGAAAAAATAGTTTGTGCCTCTTTACCTCTGTGTGCACAAGGTCAAAGGTTAAAAAATATTATGGCACATTTTGGTAGTATCCAAGTCGAACAATCCTATACTCGGATCCGATCGGATCCAATATAGGATTTCACCAGATCCTACAGGAAATCGACGGATTCGAAACATGAATTTCCTAAGGGCCATCATAGAACATAGCTAAAAAGATCACTCATAAAATTGGCAACAACCGACGGGATTTTTCTAGTCGGATTCCAATGCAATTCCGTTTCCAGGAATCCGATCGGATCCAGCATCGGATTTGTTGACCTGGGTGGTCATAAATACTCAAGTCACACATTTTTCGATTATCTACAGGTGTTGAGGTCCTTTATAATGACGATATCCCTAGGTCCTCAAGTGCTATAGTGGGTGAGGTATCCATAGGTCCTTATGTGGCGTTTTTTCGGTATACACTAGAGTGATGAAATTACATCTTGTTTGGAAAGTAATAATTTGATCTCCAAGAAGAATTTGTGTCGTTTCTTCTCCAAAGATACTAGTGTAGTTCGTATGAGCATTGACACAGAAAAGTATTTCTTTTTTACACAATCTTGAGGGTGAAGTGAATTACAATGATACGCACGTTACTCATAATTTAGTTCTACAAAATCCAGCAAATAATATTCAGTGGTTATTTGATGGAAATTTAAATGACGTTTATGGAAATTATAATGGTCAATTAGTTAATACACCAAATGTTACATGGATGTCACCAGGTTATGCTGGTTATGGAAGTGCAATTCGTTTTACAGCAAATAGTTATATGATTATAAATCGAGATCTTAATCTAAGTTCGGTAAGATTGACCGTATCAGCATGGATATGGTTACCAAATACACTTCCATCAAATGTTTATTTTCCATTATTTATTTATTGTCCAGCTCCTTCTGCAGATATGTGTTTACAAATGATTATACAGAACACAACATTTCTTGGTTATTATGGTGATGATTTAACAGGAAGTAGAGTATTGAAATTTAATCAATGGTATCATGTTGCTTTCATTCATGATCCTCTTTTATTCAAACAATCTGTTTATTTAAATGGAATTCTTAATGGAATTCGAGTTCCTAATTCTCCATTTCAT